GACATGTCTACAAGTAGAAGGAGGCTAAAAAATGTAGCCATTATCCCAGATGACCAGGTACCCACCAAAACATCAGAATTCTCTTTACTGAAGAAGTAGAAAAAGGCCATGATGTGTAACCATGACTCTCTGATACAGCATGTAATCTAATACTTAGATGTGAGGGCACATCTGATGGATGACTTCCAGGAAATATTTTCTCATTCTTGACAGTGTGTAGACAGGGAGACATGCCACCTAGATCTCCTCTTCAAGGAAGAACTTGTGGCAAGCAGTAGCAGCAGGGAACATGGTCAGCAGAACATCAATTCCTTCAGGAGCTGACTTGCCACAGGTCATGCCCTACCAATGGCAGCCCATACCATAAAGAGAATAAAGGCCCAAGCATTTCAATCCAACATGGGACAATTCAAATAAGCAATCCTGCCCTACAGTTCCCCTTCGTCAGGTCTGCATTGGAGCCCAACTTCTTCTAATTCTGCTTTTGCTTCCAATAACATCTTCCTCTACAATATTATAATCAACTTGTAACCCAAACTCAGTCTTAGCAAATGCTTTTTAAAAAACAGCCTATGATAAACATCCAAGAAGAGATCATCCTTCTCTCTCTGGACTTTGCTATGGCTGGATTTTATAGCTGGAAGTACTACAGCCTGAACACAAAGCCTGTGTTATGCCTGAACACAAAGCCAACACCAAGAATAGTAAATCAAAGGAATGTAAAGTCCCTGAAAAACAGTATCAACCACCCACAAAAACCACCTTACTCTAGCCTTCTAGTTTCTTAGGTAAATTTCCCACTGCTTGTTTAATTGCATGTGTATATGGTACACACTTCCTTGATTCTTTATTTTAGAGACTAACACAAAAGTTTTTATGGTTCTCCACTATGCTTATTCTGCTCCTCAGAGTTTCAGTGGACTTTACATGAACACTTAGGTTTGCAAATCAGCATCACTTTCAGAAAAGAAATAATTGTTTGTTTTTTTCAGACAGAATCTCACTCTGACATCCAGGTTGGAGTGCAGTGGCAAGCTCATTGGCTCACTGCAGCCTCAAACTCCTGGTCTCAGGTGATCCTCCTACCTCAGCCTCTGGAGTAGCTTGGACTATAGGCACACACCATTATGCCTAGCTAATTTAATTAATTTTTTTTTTTAGAGATGGGGTCTTGCTATGTTGCCCAGGCTGGGAAATAGATCAGTTTTATTTTAAATGTTTACTTAGTGTCTTTAAACGTACATACTTATATAATTTTACAGGTAATGCATAGATGTGATGACAAATTTTTTGTTTTTAATAAAGAACAATTCTTTTTTTTTAACCTACCTCCCTAGTTACTCTGACCCACCCTTGGCCAAAGTAAACATTTAACCAACTAGCAGGCATTCTTAAATATTTTTCTTCATACTCATGAGCCTATGATATAGGCAGAATTCTCTTAAATCATTTTTTGGTTATACAAATTATTATATACTTTTCTGCATCTTTCTTTGCTCACTCAACAAAACCTTATGTAAATTTCTCAAACTAATCAGGTACTAGTCTAATTTATTTTTTCTTTATGTAGCATAATATCCCACTTATGGACCTATCATTTTTCCTGCCTTTCCCTACTAATGTTCATTTTGTTTTCAGTTGGTTGACAATATGCACATTGCTGCAATAAATATCCCTATACATATGGCCTTACTTGTGCTTTTATTTCTAAGTATAGAAATCTTAGGAGGAGGTATACTAGGGCAAAAGGAATCTGAATTTTAATTGTTAACCAAGCTGCCAAATTATTTTCCTAAAGGCTGTAACAATTCACATTTGCACCAGCAATGTATGAGAATATGCTATTCTCTACAGCCTCTCAGCATTAGGTGTTCCTGTTTCTTTTAAATTATGTGAGTTTTTATTTTATTTTATTTTATTTTTTGAGTCTCGCTCTGTCACCAGGCAAGAGGCTGGAGTACAGTGGCACGATCTCGGCTCACTGCAACCTCCGCCTCCAGGGTTCAAGCAATTCTCCTGCCTCAGCCTCCCACGTAGCTGGGACTACAGGTGCACGCCACCACACCCAGCTAATTTTTGTATTTTAGTAGAGACGGGGTTTCACTACGTTGGCCAGGATGGTCTTGATCTCTTGACCTCGTGATTCGCCCGCCTCAGCCTCCCAAAGTGCTAGGATTACATAAATTATGTGAGTTTTTAATTCAAAATTTCCTGTGTTCTGATAAATGGCCAACAAGCGATTATTGAAAGCTTAAAGGAATTTGAAAGAGAAAGGCCAGGAACATCAACGTAAAATTTCAGGTCAAGTTTTACAGTATTGTTGATAATCTAGGTGTGGGCACGGGCACCACCTGTACACTAGAAAAACCTGGTTCACCAGAAGTCACACAAAGGCATCAAACTGAAGGGCATTTCAATAATGCAAGGCTAGAAATATAAAGCATAAAGACCTTGCCACTACCAATTTCTCAGTTCAAGAATACTGAGGTAATTCTGCAGTGGAAACAAATACAGGGAGAACAGAGGAACAGGAGGCAGGTTTCAAAGGCATCATCTCATAGTTACCTCCTTCTACTTTACTTATATTATTACCAGATAATGTAGTCTATAAAAATCTCAACTTTTCTCATCTGTTAAGATTTTCTGGCCGGCTGCGGTGGCTCAAGCCTGTAATCCCAGTACTTTGGGAGGCCGAGGCGGATGGATCACGAGGTCAAGAGATCGAGACCATCCTGGTCAACATGGTGAAACCCCGTCTCTACTAAAACTACAAAAAATCAGCTGGGCATGGTGGCACGTGCCTGTAATCCCAGCTACTCAGGAGGCTGAGGCAGGAGAATTGCCTGAACCCAGGAGGCGGAGGTTGCGGTGAGCCGAGATTGCGCCATTGCACTCCAGCCTGGGTAACATGAGCGAAGCTCCGTCTCAAAAAAAAAAAAAAAAAACTTTTCTAAGTATTGTATCAACAGTTTGCTCCTTCACACTGCTGAGTAGTATTCTCTTGCACGAAAATACACAACTTGTTTATTGGTGGACACTTGGATTATGTAATTACAGGCTCTTATAAATGAAGCTAAGACATGTATAAGTCTTTCTCTTCAATAAATATACAAAATGAAATCACTGAATCAGAGTATAGATATGCACTTAAATTTTTAAAAAGCTGCCAAACTGTTTCCTCAGTGGCTATTCCATCTTACAATCACATCTTCAAGGTATGAGAGTTCTACTTATTCCACATCAGTTCCCACATTTGGTATAATCAGGCTTTTTATTGGTTATATGTTATTCTATCTCATTATGGTTTAAATTTGTATTTTTCTGATATTTAAAGATTTTCAGAGACTGGGCACGGTGGCTCATGTCTATAATCTTAGCACTTTAGGAGGCCAAGGCAGGTGGACATTTAAGCCCAGGAGTTCAAGATCAGCCTAAGCAACATAGTGAAACCCTGTCGCTATAAAAAATACAAAATACTTAGCTGAGTGTGGTGGTACATGCCTGTAGTCCCAACTAGGGAGGCTAAGGTAGAAGGATCATTTGAGCCCAGGAAGCAGAGGTTGCAGTGAGCCAAGATGGTGCCACTGCACTCCAGCTTAGACGACAGAGGGAGAAACTGTCCCAAAAGAATAAAATAAAAGATTTATTTCTGGTGTTTACTGTTCATTTACACATATTATTTTGTGATGTGTTGGTTCTTATGTTTACCCTTTTTTTTCTTGCCAACTTTTATTTTAGGTTCCAGGGGATATGTGCAGGTTTTGCAGGGGTTTGATGTACAGATAATTTCATCACCCAAATAATCAGCAAAATACCTGAAAGGTAATTTTTCAATCCTCACTCACCTCCTACCCTCCACTCTCAGGCAAATCCCAGGGTCTCTTGTTCCCCTTCTTTGTGTCCATGTGTACGCAATGGTTAGCTCCCACTTGTAAGTGAGAATGTGCAGTATTTGGTGTTTTCTGTTCCTGCATTAATTCACTTAGGATAACTGTCTCCAGCTGCATACAGGTTGCTGCAAAGGACATGACTGCCTTCATTTTTATAGGTAGTAGTATTCCATGGTATATATGTACCACATTTTCTTTCTTTTTTTTTTTTTTAACGGAGTTTCACTCTGCCGCCCAGACTGGAGTGCAGTGGCACAATCTCGGCTCACAGCAACCTCTGCCCCCCAGGTTCAAGCGATTGTCCTGCCTCAGCCTCCCAAGTGGCTGGGATTATAGGCACCCGCCACCACTCCCAGCTAATTTTTGTATTTTTATTAGGGACAGGGTTTCACCCTGTTAGCCAGGCTGGTCTCGAACTCCTGACTTCAGGCGATCCACCCGCCTCAGCCTCCCAAAGTGCTGGGATTACAGGCACGAGCCACCATCCGTGAACCACATTTTCTTTAGTCTACTGTTGACAGGGCATCCAGTCTGAGTCCATGTCACTGCTATAGTAAACAGCGCTGCAATGAAAATACACATGCATGTGTCTTTATTATAGAAAAATTTATATTCCTTTGAGTATATACCCAGTAATGGGACTGCTAGGTTGAGTGAAGTTTTATTTTAGGTTATCTGAGAAACCTCCAAACTGCTTTCTGCACTGCTGAAACTCCCAGACTGTTAAACTAATTTACACTCCCACCAGCAGTGTAAAGTGTTCCCTTTTCTCCACAACCTTGCCAGCATCTGTTATTTTTGACTTTTTAATAATAGCCATTCTGAGTGGTATGAGATGGTATCTCACTGTGGTTTTCATTTGCATTTCCCTAATGATTAGTGATACTGAGCATTGTTTCATATGCTTGGTCATATGTGTCTTCTTTTCAGAAGTATCTGTTCATGTCTTTGGCCCATTTTGTAATGAAGTTGTCTAGGTTTTTGCTTCTTGATATGTTTAAGTTCCTTATAGTCTGGATATTAGACCTTTGTTAGATGCACAGTTTGCAAATATTTTCTCCCATTCTGTAGGCTGTCTGTTTACTCTGTTGACAGGTTTTTTGTTGTTGCTGTTGCTGTTGCTGTGCAGAAGCTCTCTAGTTTAATTAAGTCTCACTTTTCAATTTCTGTTTTTGTTATAATTGCTTTTGGAGTCTCTATCATGAAGTGTTTGCCAGGGCCAATGTCCAGAACGGAATTTCCTAAGTTTTCTTCTAGGGTTTTTATAGTTTTAGGTTTTACATTTGTTAATATACCTTGAGCTGATTTTTTTATATGGTAAAAGGTAGAGGTCCAGCTTCAAACTTCTTCATATAGCTAGCCAACTAGCCCAGCACGATTTATTGAATAGGAAGTAATTTCCCCATTCCTTGTTTTGTTAACTTTGTTGAAGATCAGATGGTTGTAGTTGTATGGGTTTATTTCTCAGTTCTCTAATCTGTTCCCTTGGTCTATGTGTCTGTTTTTATACCAGCACCATGCCATTTTAGTTACTGTAGCCTTGTAATATGGTTTGAAGCTGGGTTGTGTGATGTCTCCAGCTTTGTTCTTTTTGCTTAGGACTGCTTTGACTATTTGGGCTTTTTGGTTCCAAATGAATTTTAGAACAGTTTTCTTCTAATTCTGTGAAAAATGTCATTGGTAGTTTGATACAAACAGCACTGAATCTGTAAACTGCTTTGGGCAGTATGCACATGTCAACAATATTGATTCTTCCTATCCATGAGCATGAATGGTTTTCCATTTGTTTCTGTTATCTCTGATTTCATTCAGCAGTGTTTTGAAATTCTAGTTGTAGAGATCTTTCACCTCTCCAGTTAGCTGTATCCCTGGGTATTTTATTATTTTCCTGTACTTCTGCCCATTTTTATGTGGGTTTTTTGTTTCTATTATTGAGTTATAAGGATTCTTCCTATATTCTGGTTGCAAGCCCTTTATTGGATATATGTTTTGTATATATTTTCTGCTAGTCTATGGCTTATCTTTTTGTTTCCTAACAATGTCTTTGGAAGAGGAGAGGTTTTAATTTTTCTCCTTTATGATTGATGCTTAAAAAAAAAACTGCCTATGCCGAGGATGGAAAGATTTTCTCTCACTTTTTTTCTAGAAGTTCTATAGCTTCAGGCTTTAAGTCTTTAGTTCAGTCTGTATTCGTTTTTGTGTGTGGTATAAGGCAAGAGTCAATATTCACTTGTTTCAGGAAGGAAGGCAGGAAGGAGAGAAGGAAGGAAAGACAGAAGGAAAGAAGGGAGGAAAGAAGGGGAAAGAGAAAAGAAAAATAATCATGAATGTGTAGGTCTCTTTCTGGTCTCTCTATTCTCTTCTGTCAATATCTATGTCTATCTTTATATACCATAGTATCTTGATTGCTCTAGTTTTACAGAAAGTCTTGACTGCGCGCAGTGGCTCACACCTGGAATACCAGCACTATAGGAGGCTGAGACAGGCAGATCACTTGGGGTCAGGAGTTCGAGACCAGCCTGGCCAACACAGTGGAAGCCCACCTCTACTAAAAATGCAAAAATTAGCCAGGCATGGTGGCATGTGCCTGTAATCCCAGCTACTCAGGAGGCTGAGGCACAGAATCACTTGAACCCAGGAGGTGGAGGCTGCAGTGAGCCAAGACTGCGATACCGCACTGAAGCCTGGGTGACAGAGCAAGACCCTGTCTCAAAACCAGAAAGTCTTAAAGTAGCGCAATTTGTGATCCACCCACCCCAGCCTCCCAAAGTGCTGGGATTATAGTTGTAAGCAACCACCAAATCTGTTCTTCTTATTCAAGGTTATTTAGGTTAATTTGGTAATCTAGGTTCTTGGCAATTCCATATACATTTTAGAATCAGTTTCCCAAAAATTACCAAAGAAAAAACTTTCTGAGATTTTGACTGGGATTACATCTAATCTACAGATAAATTTGGGGAGAATAAACATCCTTCCAATCCATAAACATGGTATATCCCCCATTTATATAGGACTTTAGTATCTCTCAACGTTTTATAGTTTTCAATATATAAGACAGGCGTATCTTTTGTCATATTTATCCCTAAGTGTTTTAGGTTTTTTAAATGCTATTTGAATGATGGTGCTTTGATTTTATTTTCCAATTGTTTCTTGCTAATAACAGATATACGACTGATTACAGACTACCTTGTATCCTGCAACCTTGCTAAACAGGTTTAATGCTTCTCGCAGGTGTTTTTTATACTCATTATTCTCTTTCTAAACATGTCATCTTTTTGTTGTTGTTGTTGTTGTTGTTGTAACACTCAGCTGAGGTCTCATACAAATCATGTCATCTACAAAGAGTTTTACTTCTTTTCTCCTCCCAATCTGGATGACTTTATTTTTCTTCCCTTATTGCACTTGCTAGGACCTCTATAAAATGTTTAACAGAAGTCATGAGAGTGGGCATCCTTGCCTTGCTCTCAATGGTGAAAAGAAAGAGTTCAGATTTTTCACCATTAAGTATGATGTTAGCTGTAGATTTTTTTGTAGATGTTTTTTATCAGATTGAAGATGCTCCCTTCTAGGTAAGGCATGGTGGCTCATGCCTGTAATCCCAGTGCTTTGAAAGGGCAAAGCAGGAAGATCTCTTGAGGCCAGGAGTTTAGACCAGCCTGGGCAATACAGACTCTGTCTCTTAAAAAAAATAAAAAAACTTTTTAATTAGTCAGGTGTGGTGGTATGTGGCTATACTCCTAGCTACTTAGGAAGCTGAGGTGTAGGAATTGCTTGAGCTTAGGAGTTTGAGGCTGCAGTGAGCCATGATCACACCACTGTACTCCAGCCTGTGTGATGGAGCAAGATCCTGTGTCTTACCAAAAAAACCTTCCTTCTTCTACTCCTGGTTTACTGAGCCTTTTTATCATGTATGCCTGATAACATTTTGTCAGATGCTTTTTCCATATCATTTAAATGATCACATAGCTTCTCTTCTTTATTCTGTTAATGTAGCCAGTTACATTGATTGATAAAGTGACTGGCTGGGTTTTCCTTTTTTTTTCCTTTGAGATGGAGTCTTGCTCTGAGCCCAGGCTGGAGTACAGTGGCACAATCTTGGCTCACTGCAACCTCTGCCTCCTGGTTTGTTCAAGTAATTCTCTGCCTCAGCCTCCCGAGTAGCTGGGATTACAGGAGTCCGCCACCATGCCTGGCTAATTTTTGTATTTTTAGTAGAGACAGCGTTTCACCATCCTGGCCAGGCTGGTCTTGAACTCCTGACCCTGTGATCCACCGGCCTCAGCCTCCCAAAGTGCTGGGATTACAGGTGTGAGCGACTATGCCTGGCCTGGCTTTTTTTTTTTTTTTAAATACTTTAAGTTCTGGGATACATGTGCAGAACGTGCAGGTTTGTTACATAGGTATACACTTGCCATGGTGATTTGCTGCACCTATCAACCCTTCATCTACATTAGGTATTTCTCCTAATGCTATCCCTCGCCTAGCCCCCCATTCCCTGACAGGCTCCAGTGTGTGATGTTCCCCTCCCTGGGTCCATGTGTTCTCATTGTTCAACTTCCACTTATGCGTGAGAACATGCCGTAGTTGGTTTTCTGTTCCTGTGTTAGTTTCCTAAGAATGATGGTTTCCAGTTTCATCCATGTCCTTGCAAAGGACATGAACTCATCCTTTATGGCTGCATAGTATTCCATGGTATATATGTGCCATATTTTCTTTATCTAGTCTATCACTGAAGGGCATTTAGGCTGGTTCCGAGTCTTTGCAATTGTGAATAGTACCACAATAAATATACATGTGCATGTGTCTTTATAGTAGAATGACTTATAATCCTTTGGTTATATACCCAGTAATAGGATTGCTGGGTCAAATGTTATTTCTGGTTCTAGATCCTTGAAGAATCGCCACACTATCTCCCCACAATGGTTGAACTAATTTATACTCCCGCCAACAGTGTAAAAGCAGTTCCTATTTCTCCACATCTTCTCCAGCATCTTTTGTTTCCTAACTTTTTAATGATCGCCAATCTAACTGGCATGAGATGGTATCTCATTGTGGTTTTGATTTGCATTTCTCTAATGACCAGTGATGATGAGCTTTTTTTCATATATCTGTTGGCCACATAAATGTTGTCTTCTGAGAAGTGTCTGTTCATATCCTTCACCCACTTTTTGATGGGGTTGTTTTCTCTTAAGTTCTTTGTAAATTCTGGATATTAGCCCTTTGTCAGATGGACAGATTGCAAAACTTTTCTTCCATTTTGTAGGTTGCCTGTTCACTCTGATGACAGAATTTTGTGTGTGTGTGTGTGTGTGTGTGTGTGTGTGTGTGCAGAAGCTCTTTATTTCAATTATATCCCATCTTTCAATTTTCAATTTTGGCTTTTGTTGCCATTGCTTTTGGTGTTTTAGTCATGAAATCTTTGCCCATGTCTATGTCCTGAATGATACTGCCTAGGTTTTCTTCCAGGGTTTTTATGGTTTTAGGTTTTATGTTCAAGTCTTTAATCCATCTTGAGTTAATTTTTATATAACGTATATGGAAGGGGGTCCAGTTTCAGTTTTCTGCATATGGCTAGCCAGTTTTCCCAACACCATTTATTAAATAGGGAATCCTTTCACCATTGCTTGTTTTTGTCAGTTTTGTCAAAGATCAGATGGTTGTAGATGTGTGGCGTTACTTCTGAGGCCTCTGTGCTGTTCCATTGGTCTATATACCTGTTTTGGTACCAGTACCGTGCTGTTTTGGCAACTGTAGCCTTGTATAGTTTGAAGTCAGGTGGCATGATGCCTCCAGCTTTGTTCTTTTTGCTTAGGATTGTCTTAGCTATACGGGCTCTTTTTTGGTTCCATGTGAAATTTAAAGTCATTTTTTTCTAATTCTGTGAAGAAAGTCATTGGTAGCTTGATGGGGATAGCACTGAATCTATAAATTACTTTAGGCAGTATGGCCATTTTCATGATACTGATTCTTCCTATCCATAAGTATGGAATGTTTTTCCATTTGTTCATGTCCTCTCTTATTTCCTTGAGCAGTGGTTTATAGTTCTCCTTGAAGAGGTTCTACACATCCCTTGTAAGTTGTATTCCTAGATATTTTATTCTGGTGTGTATTTTAATTCTATATTCTAAATCCCACAGGATATCATTATTGCTTACAATTAACATTCAATTAAGTTTACCCACACTTTATTCTTTCCAATGGTCCTCATTCCTCTTACAATCTCTGTATTTTCTTCTGTAATCATTCTCCTCTGCTTATGGAACTCCCTTTATTGTAAGGCTGCTGATGATTAACCCCCTCTGTTTTTGTTCATCTGAAAATAGCTTTAGTTCTTCATTTTTGAAGTATATTTTCTACTGGATATAGAAGGGTAAGGAGCTATAGCCCGTGGACTAACAGCCTGTTTCTATAAGTAAGGTTTTATTGGAACACAGCCATGCCCATTCGCTTAGGACTGTTTATGACTGCTTTCAACCAACAATGGCAGAATAGTTGTGGCAGAGATCTTACATGGCTCAGGAGTCTAATATATGAACTACCTGGCCCTTTAAAAAAGAAAGCCTGTCAACTCTTGGCATACAATTCTATGTTGGCATTTATTTACTTTTCAGCACCAAAAATGTCACTCCATTGTTTTGGTTTCCATTGTTCATACTAAGAAGGTAGCTTTCAGTCTTGTCCTTGCTTTTTTTTTTAAATAAGAAAATAAATTTTAAACAGAGACAGGGTCTCACTGTTACCCAGGCTGGTCTCAAACTCCTGGGCTCAAGCAATCATCCCGCCTCAGCCTCCAAAAGTACTGGGATTACAGGTATGAGCCATCATGCCCAGCCCTGTTCTTGCTTGTGTAAAAATGTGTCTCAATCCACTGGTTGCTTTAAGATTTTAAACTTTGTCTTTGATTGTTAGCAAAAATGCTGAATCTACTTTTCTTTCCTTACCCTGTTTGGTGCTTGCTGCATTTCCTGAATCGGCAGCTCTAAGCATATTATCACTCTGTGAACATTCTAGGACATTATCTCCTTGAGTATTGCTTCTGCTCCACTCTTTTTTTCTCCTTTTGAAGTTCTAATTACAACTGTGTCCCACATCCTTCACATTCCTTTTGGTATGTGCAAAAGTAACTGAGGTTTTTGCCATTTTTGAATGCCAATATTTAAATATTAGGTTGGTGCAAAAGTAATTGTGGTTTTTGCCGTTAAAAAAAAAAAAAAAAAAAAAAAAAAAAAAAAAAACTGCAAAAACCGCAATTACTTTTGCACCAACCTAATATTTTTCATTCCTTTGTCTCTGTGTTTCTATACAGGTATTTTTCCCTAACATATCTTATTTATCTTAATTCTCTTTTCATCTAAGGCTCTTAAAATCAATCATGGTATTTCTAGTTCCCAGTGATTCTTTTTATACTAATTCTCTACTAAAATTATTGAACTTGTTATGTAAATTCTTAAAGATATTAATCATTTATTTTAAAGTGCATTTTTGATCATTCTAAAAACTGACTCGTGTGTGTGTGTGTGTGTGTGTGTGTGTGTGTGTTTCTGCTAATGGCCTTTTTCGGTCTGTTCCAAAATCCAACACAGAATTCCACAGTGCATTTACTATTTTTTTGATATGTAGTCTCGCTTTGTCACCCAGGCTGGAGTGCAGTGGTGCCATCTCGGCTCACTGCAACCTCCGCCTCCCGGATTCAAAACTAGTGTTACAAACTATTCTCCTGTCTTGGACTCCTAATTAGCTGGGATTATAGGTAGCCACCACCACACCTGGCTAATTTTTATATTTTTAATAGAGACAGGGTTTCACCATGTTGGCCAGGCTGGTCTTAAACTCCTGACCTCAGGTGATCCACCTGCCTTGGCCTCCCAAAGTGCTGGGACTACAGGCATAAGCCACCACACAGGGGCAGCGCATTTACTTTTAATGTCTTCTTAGTCTCCTTGACTCTGTTTTTTTAAATAACTGAAATTTTAATTGAGATAACAGATTAACATGTAATAAGAAGCAATATGGAGAGATTCCTTGTACACACTTTGACCAATTTCCCCAAATGGCAACTTTTTTTTTTTTTTTTTTTTTT